TATCCGATATATCGGCAAAATCTGGGATGGTCGGCAAAAAGTAAAATCCCCGATCGTCTGGGATTTTCCCAACATATGAAAACCAGGCTTTATGATCCAGTGAAAACTACATTGTCGGAGTCGGAAGCAGAAACGGAAGAACCAACCAATCACAAGGTCCGGAAACGAAAATTGTGATTGGTTTATTCTTCCGCTTCTGCTTCGGACTCCGACAATCTAGTTTTCACTAGATCGTAAGCGACGGAGTCGTAGGCGAATGCAGTGTTCTGCTTCCGATTCCGTCAGTTTGATTTTCACTARATCGTATCACTCTACGCTTCTGATTACGACTTCGACTACGACTCCGTCACTAGTGAAAACCAGCCTGTAATGCCCACGGGTCGATTACGGATTATGCAAATTAGGAAGAGCCCGGCTGGGAAAATTCCAGCGCATTGAAACGATGAAAGCCGATTAACAGTAAGAGAAAGTAAATTTAATTCCGAGTAGCTAATAAGAGTAGAGATTTTCCCTTAATAAAATTTATATACAAGTCGTTTTTGACTTACCAGCCGGCAACCTTGGCGGGCACTACTGAAAAACAATCAAAGTTTGCTGAGTCTTAAGTAAAGCTAAAATCGCCAAGTGAAAAACACCATCGGTAGATCTGTCATGCATCCTGAGCAGAACACCACGAAGAAACTTATAAGTTATCATCTTAGTCACAACAGTTACCAACATATTGAACTCCGTCACAGTTCTCATCACATAGATTCCCTCGCTTTACACAAGCAAGTGTAAATCAGCTTCCAGGATCATCAGATGTAAACAATTGGGCTGTTTCTGTCGGAAGCAGTGTTTCTGATAACTGCAGGAAGTTATAGACGTTCACAAGGCTTGAAAAGTTCATTCATGAATCCCAAAATGAAGAAGGCGAAGATATGTTGTCGAAAGCGAATGCGAAGATCGAGTCATTCTGAGCAGTGCATTCTGAAGCAGTAGTATTTTCGTTCACCGAAAGACCGTTGGTTTGAACTATTTTGAGGCACTCTGTTGACGTTTCGCCACAAAAGTCGGAAAAACTCCACCATCAAGTTGTGGCACCACGATACTCAAATACCTTTTTGAGGCTGTGACAATCATTTTTCCCGAAAAGAAGTGCGTGTTTTAATTTTTAACGGAATACGTCAAACAGTGGTGAAGTTCACTGACCGTGTAGTTTTGCCCTGGGTTTGAGACGATGAATGAATCGGTAACCGCGCGCATCGCCGGATGTAATTTGACGACTTCCTCGAATAATTTTGTTCTTTTCTTAAATTCATGAGCCATATAATAAACAACTTAATAACCTCAACCGTTCGGTCGTT